ATGTGCTGTCTCGCCATCCGAGTCCGAGGTACTAGGTCCGACTTCTTGAGTAGATAACTCAGGATGGTGATCTGCCCATGCATCATGACCCGATGATAATATCTCCTCATCTGATAGATCACGGATGGCGGTAAGATACTCATAAGGGCTTTCGCCATCATCCGATAGTATAAAGTCGGCGATATTGGCCTCATCATCTTCATAGTGCATGAGCCCAATTCTGTCGTCAGAGTCAGGCTCTCCGTCGTCATATTGGTCACCATCATATTCCTGATTGTAGAGGTCGTACTCATCCTCCTCGAGGGGTTCAGCTAACCCATCACCTTCCGGTGCTCCATACTCATCTTCTATGTCAGGTTGGACGGTCTCTGCAACGTCTTCGCCCTGATCGTCATCCATGGCTCTCATACGCTCTTTTGGTCGAGTAGGACAATCCTTGCTGAAGTGTCCTTTCTGACCACAGCGGAAACATGAGTCTGTACTCGTCGCTTGACGAGTAGAGCCACTAGTCGCTCCTCGTGGAGCATCTTTACGATCCTGATTAGGTTGTTGAGGAGCTGGATTAGTTCAACAAGGAATGACGCGACTGTTCTCAGCGGGAGCTGGTTGTCGAGGACGCTGGAAGTCTCGTTGAGGACGAGACCATCGTGCATTATCACCCGTCCGCTGTTGTTGCCCAGTTCCCGACATATTCGGGGATTGGATCATTGGCTGAACGACTTGTGCCAATTTCGTTCGCTGGGGAGCAGTGGGGCGAGTAGGTGCGGGTGGTCGAGATCCTCGATGCACACTGCTAGTATTGAAAGTAGACTTCTCATATTTGCTAGCTTTTTCCAGGGCCTCTATGTGCTCGACTACTGTAGTCAAGGGACTCTCCTCGGGAGTCAGCAGTCGAACGTATAAGCAATCATAGCGGATCCAGTCAGGAATACTGTCAAATATACGTTTCTTCATGTCATACTCATGGGGCTTGGCAGCTCATCTGCGTCCCCAGTACTCGAGTTCATTGACCATGCGCCGAATGCCATGCTTCATTGAATATGTGATCCTTTCATACATGTTGTCAGCCTCCTTGGAAGTGGCTACATAGAGGTGGCGACGGATTAGTCCCACTATGACTTCAGGGAAAGTCCATTCGTCTTTCTCTCGGTTGTAATCCTGGACTTCCTGATAGAACCATTCGGCGGCATCGCCTTCAAAATATTTAGATACGAGTAATACATGCTGGCGATCATAGTTATCACGCCCTATGCCCATGAGGTCGAAGTCTGTCAAAATGTCTGACAGCCACTTTTCAAAGAAACGTATATCCGCCCTGCCATCATATAACCTTTTGGCGGCCAGCTTAAAGTTTCGTGTCTCCGGAGTATAGGGCGCAGCCCTTCGACGCGCACTACGTATCGTCATCAACGCTTTTTCTACGAGTTCGTCTTCGTATTCGTGCGCGGGAGTAGCTGCTCGCTGCCAATTACGACGCCCGATATTCCTGGGATTGTCATCGTTATCTCCATTGTCATCAGAGGGATCATCCCCAGGAGGGTTTCCACCTCCTCCTGGTGGATCTCCTCCGCCCCCTCCGCCCCCTGCACCACCTGTAGGTACTACCACAGCGACTCGTCGTTGACATCGACCTGAGTTATAGGAGTCTTCTGGGCCTCCTCCGCCTCCTCCCCCGCCTCCTCCCCCGCCTCCGCCTCCGCCGTCACCACCAGAGCCACTTGTAGGTTGTCCTACAGGCCTACGGTCCGGTGGAAGCGGTCTACGGCCATTATCTGGAGGTAGGTGAGGAGGACGGTCTCGACGGTCATCATTACCTCGTCCGCGATGATTGTCATCACCGTCGTCGGAGGGGTCGCCGCCTGGATTGCCGCCATTGGCACCTCGCGCAGCACGCATGTACGGTACTAGTGCAGTGGGCTGAGACGTATTACTTTGCCGTACGTCATTTGTTTGATCGAGGCGAATTGTACAGCCATCGATCTCGTTTCCGTGGGCCACAGTCCCGATGGCATGAGGCTCATTAGAGTAGCCCCTCGTCGCAACGGTTCGACGAATGTTCACGTCTTGAGAGGAGGTCGAGTGGACACTGGCCTGACTAGCTTCTCTTGTCACATTGCGACTATTTTGGTTCGACGTAAGTGTTTGCGTCGAGGAGGGCACTTCTGGAGTTACTCCCTCCAGCTTCAGGGGATGAATGTGGTCGGGGCTCGATCGTACGTTCCGTCCATTCTGAGCAGCGTCATAATCGACAGTGAATTCGTCGGGCCGCACTCTATGCTGGCTCTGGTCACGCTGTCGATTTCGGGGTGTTGGCTGACTGGGAGGGTTGATCAGCCGTTGTACGGCCGCCACCCTACCATCAAACGTAGCCTGATCTTCATTCGGCTGATGGGGAGCAAATAGTTTACCAATGGATCGCTGAATAACAGGATCTGTTTGCCAGTCTGATACCATGCCCGTATCGCCAATGCATTGCGTCCATTCTGCCGGACCCACGATGGCCAATCCCACTTCGTTGAGTTGGGATTTGGTCCATTGGTGTATTTACTGGAGCGGGCGGGGGCGTCTGCTCCTCGGCGCGAGCCTTGCTTATCTGCCGGGG